AAACAACAGCATTTAGCAGCTTGTGAACCAATGGCTGTGATGGTAGGCGGAGTTTTAGATCGGGCACTGCTCCCCCTACTGACCACACTTTATAGTGTTAAAATTACGACCACTGCAAAGAATTAAATGAGCAAAACATCATCTTAGTGTTTTTAAGACAGTAAAATGATGATTGTTTTGTAATCATTTTCCTAAAATAACATATTTAAGTGCTGTATTAATGCAGTCAGTTGAAACAAAAGTGCAATGTGTCTTTAAAAGGTACGTGTTTAACCAATATGCATGAAAAATAAGTACATCCACTTTTGTACTGGACACATTATTAGAGTTATTGTTTTATTCTGATTATTGGTGTTATAGATCATACTGATTAATAGTTTTGTTTGTTAACTGCAATTATCTTTGAGTTTGGTCATAAAGATACGGCAAGATGAAACTGATAAATAATAAAACTGTGTTCTATCATTTTATAATTAGATTTGACCGCACGCTACTTGATTGTGTTGTCGGCATGACGTACGTCCTCAAATGGTTTAAAAAAGATGAATAATCCAAATTCCGAATATTCCGAACTGAAATGAACACTAAATATTTGTTATTTCATAATTTTAGACCTTCACAGTCATTCAGAAGTGTTAAAAATAACCTTCCAAATGTTCGACTGCCTCTGTATCTCCTCGTGTTTCTTTCTCACCCTGCTGCTCGTTCACCTCGGCAGGTTTTATAGCTGCAGGGCTTGTTTTTTTCTTCACATGTTCGTGTCTGTGGGTTTTTTCCTCTTTCTGGGCCGACAGCCAGATCTGCTCTGCCACACCCGGCCCTGCCCTGCGAGCGCAGTTTACTGCCTCAGACTCGCCCAGAATAACAGGGAGAGAGAGAGAGAAAGCGTGAGAGGAAGGAGAGAGAGACAGAAAAGAGGGAAGGTCAGAGGAAATTCGGCAGTGACCTGTTCCAACCAGCCACAGATACGCTCAGCAGCACATTCCACTGCTGAGGAATTTGTTCAGTAGAAGCTCAGAAGCTCTGAGGTCCTGGAAGGACTCCTGAAGGAGTGGGAGTGTTTTAATGGCCCCGAAGGTCAAAGGTTTTGGTAAAAAAGCCTAAACGGAGGCCAGGAGTTTGTTGACTGATACAAAACGGTGGAATGTGTGGAGTGTGAGCGACCAAAATCACTAACAAATGTACATTTTTCTGTGCAGTGATGTTTTTATTAACCTTGATCTACATTTTTGTATTTCAAAACAATAAAAATAGACTTAACTGAACAATAACAAACCTTGCAGAGGCTTTCAGAGAGTTTAAAAGATGAAGTAGAAAGATGTTAAAGCCTTTTGTCGGAATATCGTCAGTGACTTCGCGATACGATACAGTGGCAAAACACAACAGACAGTTTTGGCCAATGTTTACCCTAAAAAACTACATCATAAATAAAAACATAAAGGGATCATGATAATTACTTCGTTTTATTAATGTTATTAATGAGGACCTATTATGCTTTTCCATTTTTTTTCTCTGTCCTTCAGTGTGTTTTGTAGCTTTTTGGGTCACAAACCTCAAAGTTCCCTCCAGAACCCACTTTTCTCAGCTGCTGAAACGCCTCGTTGGAATTCCAGCCCTTTTCCTTTGTTACAGGATGACATCATCTCATAACACAGTCCAGCTCGGCCCCCTCACACAGAGAGCTACAGAGTAAAAGCCTCCCACTCTGAAACGTCCGGCTCCGGTCCAGCTCGCGAAGGTGGATCGGGTCTACTAGCTTGTTCTACCAGACTTTCAGGATCAACTCTGAATCAAACTGATATGGCAGAACCGACGCCGCTGTGGGAACAGACACAGCATTGTGGGGGTGGAGCTTGTAGCAGGATGCCGCTCTGCTGGTCAACCACTCATAATAGAGTGGGCGAGCTGACCAATCAGAGCACACTTGGCTCATGTGGAGGCGGGACTTAAAGACACAGGAGCTCTAACAGAGCGTATCAGACAGAGGATGAATAGAGATGAACAGTCTGAGGAAAACAGTGTTTTTAGATCATTGAAGCAAACAAATCTATTCTAAGACCCCCTAAATAAAATTATAATAATTGAAAATGAGCGTAATAGATCCTCTTTAATGATTAATCATTTTTTGTTTAAAAATAATGTGTTGGGGAGTTTCTAAAAGCAATATTATAGCACAGAGAGATATATTAGTAAACATACTGCACTTTATTCACAATGGCAGCAGCGCAGGTTCCTACCTAAATAATAAAGTGCAGTATGTTTACTGATATGTACTCTGTGTCAGTATCTGGGCAGTAAAATTAATGCTTGTCTATAGATATTATGTAAACATATTCCCACAAAAATGCTGATAAAAATGCTGTGTTGTACTGGATTTCCCTGCAACAGTACTCAGTTATGGGCTGTGGCAGGACATTTAAACTGTGAGTCTCCATATAAAAGTTTTATGACTCCTGTAACTTAACCTAGACTATCTGATCTGTTATTACACTGGAACGGATGTAGCTGTTCAAACACATGGATATCCAAATATTAGAGAGACTTGGTGTTTGCGCAGCAAGACTTAAGGCCTCAGTGTAATTGCGAGAAAAAAAAAGGAATAAACGTAAAACGAGTAACGAATAACGCTCATGGCAGCTGGTAGCAGTAGTCCAGGCATCTAGAGGTGACCGCCTGAATAAGAGATTCAGCAGCAAACTGGGAACGACACAGTCGTTTTGGTGATATTGCGCAGGTGGAAAAAGGAAGTTTTAACAATAGAGCTGACATGGGCATCGCATGAGGGGCGAGTCTGGGATGAACGTCCTACCAGCTCAGATGTGTTTGTTTGTGTAAAGCCGCTGAAAGTAGCATTAAATCCAGTGTGGAGCAGTTAAAGTACACATCAGTTAGCTTGGTGCTAACATTATATACTGATTCCCATAGAGATGCTAGTGATTAGCATTGTCACAATAGGAATTGGATAAACCCAGACTTTTCAAACAAAAATGCTTTGCAGAAAAAGTGTATCTATGAATGTTTTCATGCAAACAACTAATCGCCATTGATTCATCGAATCGGTGTCAATTAAATGAATAACTTTAATCTATTAATGATGATGACTGAGTTGATGTGTTTGTACTACAGTATGAAGTCATTTCAAGGCTTTGCTCATATGGTCACATTATTAAGTCCAGATATTCATTTTTAAAGGCTGAATTTTTAATCTTCTCTGTTGTCTGTTTTTGTTTTTCCAGCCCAGTTTTCAGAGAAAGTAAGGAACATGTCTCCTGAAGAGATACGGATCCCACCAGAACCGCCTGGGCGCTGCTCCAGCCATCTACAGGTGTGTATTTACCTGCCTACTCATCTTTCGCCACTTAATTAAAGGCATCTGGGGGGTTGGACTGATCCACTTTTCTTCATTTCAGAGGAACTTACTGGCTCAGATGTCTTCACAGTGGTGGTGATAGGAACCAGGGGTCGCCATGACTACAACACAGATATAGACATATTTACTATCCAGAACCACCAGTGAACCTACACGAGTCTTCTGAGTTTATATGGAATGTTGATGATGAAAATAGTGGAAAATCTGAAATAATAAGTTTTCTTTGGGGACTATTTTGCCTCACAGCGCCCTGCATGTATCCCTCCACCATGAATGGAGTTTAAGTTCTCTAAACTATCATAAAACAGTGTCTCAGTCATCAGGCAGTGAATTCATAACCATTTCATGTAGGAACTTTCTGTGAGGGAGCTTTTAGAGGTGGACGTCTGGTTCCTATCACCACCACTGTGAACAGTTCTGACTCGGTAAGTTTATCTAGAACAGAGCGTTTCACACCAAACCACTCTGAACCACTCTGAACGACTCTGTACGCCTCTGTACGACTCTGTTTACATCTTAAGCATTTAATTTTGCAGAAATCTCCAATTTTATGCACTTTGACTTAGAATATCAAAATGAAACAAGTTCTGCTAGTAGAAGCTCGAGTCTGATGTTCTCTGATGATCTGTTGGTTTTTAAAGTCCTCACTCCTTCATCATCTGATGGATTCACACTCTGAGTGACTCACGCCAACTCCAGCGTTCAGCTGTTCCTCCAAACTCGTTTATCTCTAACCTTCTTGCTAAAACCTGTTCTACTTCTCTCCTCCTCCTCAGCGCTGCTGTTTTATTTGGCTGTATTTCTCTGAGCAGTTTAAACCTGCACTTTATATCACTCTGTTGTTCAGAGCTGAAATCAGTCAGATCAGTGGGCTGATATCGTCTCCTGTATGCTGTAACAGACCTGCTACACTCAAAAAAGCTAACAGTCTGACTTTAGGAAGATATTAAACAACGTTAATTCAGTGTTTCCACTAGACTTTTTTCAACAGCAATGCAGGCCCACACACCAAACCCCTCCCACCCCCCGCCAGCGCTTTTCACTGACACCCCCAGCCCAATATCAAAAGGTGCTAAAATTAAAATTTCAAAAGTTTCCTTCCCAATATGAACTTCATTATGTATTATTTTAGTCACATTTATTAAGGTAACGTTACCTGAATTATGATTCACTGAGTCAGTTTTAGGTTATCTAGACCATCATTTTATAAAATATGAATAATATTAATAAATATAGCCACAAGCGGCGATTTGCAGGGTCCAAGCTTGCTTTGCAAGTTCACCCAACATTGCTATTTTATGAAACAAATGTGAACTTTAATCGGCATTGAAAAGTTTTAAGGCTTTCAAATGGACCTTATTTTTCACGTTCATAGCGTGACAGACTTTGATTCAAAAAGTGTTTCGTTTTTGGTCTACTCATTGGAATTGATCATTTTATGTGTTAAATTGGACTCATGAGACGATCAGACTGGGTACAAATGAGCTGATTTGGTCAATTTAACTGCCAATTTAAAATGCTGCTGTAGTTGGACTTCATCTTTGATATGTTCATAGTATGAAAGACGTTAAATTAAAGGTTGCCGTTTTGGTTGTCTACTTATTAGTAATACTCATTTTATTAATTGTTCAATTTGACTTAAGAGTCAATTAGATGAGGTACAAATATAGCAACTTAATGAACCGACTTGGCAACTTCGGCAGTAAATGATTTCTGCATACTGCAGTAGAATGAGTTCTTTGGTTTGTGCATAGTATGACAGACACTGAAGCAATATCTGTTGCGTTTTTGGGATACATATATAAAATAGTTGTTTTATAATGTTATGGATTTGCATATATATTCTCAGTGTGGAATGATTGTTTTACGGCCCCCTATTACCACATGCAATCAGTTGGCCTTGAGCTTCAACAGACAATAATTATACATTGCAAACGTTCTTTTAAACTGTAAAATCAAATTAAATCAAGCTTTATTGGTCACTCACAGCCGTACAGCAGTGGTGAAATGCTTTTATGACTGTCCGTTGCCATGAAAAACAGAATATACAATAGAAAAATGTAAGAGTGTGAAAAGGGAAGAATATAAAACTATAAAAATGTAGAGATGCAATGAAATGTATGTGTATGTAAAGTGCAGGAGGCAGCAGAATGAAAAGGGTTACTAAATATAAATAAGTGAATATATAAATAAATAAGCCCTCTGCAGAGTTTTGTAACTGTGACTTTGACATTTCATAATATTCTGAAGCTGCAGCCGCTGCAAAATATTCATTGTTGAAAAATACAGCCGATCACAGATTTATGGGAGTTTATTTATGCAAATTAGTTGAATACAAAAATGCTAGAAGGTTTTGTGTTCATTTCCTTGCTATATACACAAAAAAGTCTCTTACAAACAGTGAGAGAGTCGCTCTCTCTCTCTCTCTCTCTCTCTCTCTCTCTCTCTCTCTCTATCTCTCTCTATCTCTCTGTGTTGTATATTAGGGTGTGGTTCTCCGTGTTCTAGGTGTTGGTTGAGTTACAGTCTGGTTTGTATTGATGATGAATTTCCGGCGCCTGCAGCTCTGCATTCCTGCAGCTCCGACATGATCAGGACCTGCAGCTGGAGATTAGCTGTTCCTCTGATTTCAGATTCTCTGAGTGTTTAAACCAGCAAATCCGCCTCGAACCATCTTCTCACGTCAGTTACAGTCACGTCCAGAGAGGATGTTAACGTCAGAGTTCGGGAACACCTAATTTTTAATTCCACTGATCATGTTTAATCTGTAATATACCTTATTAAAGCATAACCGGGTTTATTTAGAAGAAAATGTCACACATGTAAGTATTAGTGCCAATATTAGTGACAGTACTGCCTTATATATGTATATTATAATGTCAGATTATACTGTTTTTTGTTGATTTTCAAAATTAAAATAAGGAAACACCTCTTGCACACACTCACACGCAGCATTTATTTGCATATTTTTATGCACAATTACTGTCTTTGCCAAGTAAAATGTAAAACTTTCACATTTTATGTTTTATTTTTTCCCTCAAAATGGTAAATTCAGCAGATCAGCAGTAGCTTTGAATTGAAATGTGCTGGTGTGTTCTTTTCTCAGGGGTGCCCAAACTTTTGCAGATGGCTGTAGATATTAGTGATGCACCAAAATAAACACACTCTGCCGAAACTGAAGTTCAGGACACGCCGGGCTGACAGCCGGAAAACTAAAAAATGCTGAGAATAAATAAAAACAGTTTCAGGATATGTTAGTGCTGTAATAATAAAATATGACCTTAATCATTGAATCTAATAAAAAGCACATCAGAATGTAGAAAAGATCAGTTTAAAATGTTCAAAGCCTCAAATATGTTTAATATATTAATCATTTAGTGACTAACATCATCGCACATGACTTCCTCCTAATGTAGATGTCTTTGCTCACCGAAAACAGACAAAACAGTTTGTTTTGGCTTTAATTAAGTTTAAGTTTATCATCTGGTTTGGCTGATATAACTGGGTGTCATCGGCGTAGCCGATATAAAGGGGAGATTCGAGGTCTGTAATTTGATAGTTCACAGGGATCGAGGTTCACTTTCTTAATCAGAGTCTAATTACTGCTAGTTTAAGAGATTTTGGGGATGTATCCAAGGCTCAGAGAGGAGTTTATTATTGACAGAATAGGCTTGGTTATTTCTGGCAAAATTTTTTTGAGTAAACCTGTTGGAATCGGATCAAACATACAAGTAGAGGATTTAGTGGAGGAAACAATTTTAACTAGTTCATTTTGTTGAAGTAAGGTAAACGATTCCTCTCTGCAGTTACAATATTCTCAAGATCTAGACTGGCATTATAAGGCAGCAGGTTTGTAGAGTTTAACTGTGTGTTCTGAATGTTCTGCCTAATTTTTTCAATTTTATCACCAAAGAAATTCATAAAATCGTTGCTGCTGTAGGCTGATGGCATCTGTGGTTCAGTAACTGTTTGGTTCTTAGTTAATATAGAGATCGTGCTAAATAGTAATCTAGGATTATTCTTATTGTTTTCTATGAGAGAGGAGAGAGAGGCTGAGCGTGCTGCAGTAAGTGCTCTTCTATAGTCTATAAGGCTATAATCCCTCCAGGTGGACTGGAACACTTCTAGTTTAGTGAGGCGCCATTTTCGCTCTATTTGTCTGACAGTCTGTTTTAAAGCTCCAGTACGATCATTAAACCATGAGGCAGCTTTTTCTGCCTTATTATTTCACTTTTTGATGGAGCCACATTATCTAGAGTAGATTGAAAAGTGTCCTCTAAGCCAGGGGTGTCAAACTCCGCTACTAAAAGGGCCGTAATAAGAAATCTCAGCAAATCCGTGAGAACCCAGAGAACACCTGTGTTTTTATTTCATTTTTTAATTAACGTTTTGCTATAAACCAAAATGACTGTTATTTATTCAAAATACACAAAAACCTCAACAGTAAAATACAGACCCTGGTAGTAGACCTTGGAATATTACACAAATACTTCAAAATGTAAACGTCCCCAGGAGCTCAGTCTGTTACACCTACCTATCTGCTTGAACTAGACCCCTGGCGTCCTTTCTTTGCTCCAGGTTCATTAAGACTTTGGCTCATTTTCTAAAATGCTGAGCTGACATTCAGTGTTTATATTGGCTGAACTGCAGTTAGTGTGTTTGGTGATATAACTGGTGTGGAACTGTGTAGAACTGAGGTGTAACCGCTGTCCCATAGACTGTAGGGAGTCAGAGCGGACGTTGCGTTGCAGTGCATGCTGGGGACTGTAGTGCAGTGCACTGTAAAATGGGACAATATTAAAAGAAAATTAAATGCTTTCGCAGGCCGGCTAGGATTGTGTCAGCGGCCTGATCTGGCCTGTGGGCCTTGTGTTTGACACATAGGCTCTAAGCACTTAGTCATAATGTCTAATTCAGTAGGATTAGACTGGCAGCTGATTGAAGCTGATCATTGTGGAAGGTTTCTGATTAAGCTACCAGCTGTGGAGGAGGTTATAGTCCGCTTAACATGATAGCTGGTGATGAACGCACATTACCACGAAGGTGAATTTCATATGAGATTAGGTAATGATCTGAGACTGCTGAGCTCTGGGGGAGAACGGCTAAGTGATCTATGTTTACACCAAAGGTCAGAATTAAGTCTAAAGTGTGGCTGCAGTAATAAATGGGCCTCTTTATATTTTGAGTGAAACCTACAGAGTCTAAGATACATATAAATGCCTTACTTAGTGCATTTTGTGGTTTATCAAAGTGGATATTAAAATCTCTGACAATTATTACTTTATTTAAAAACGTTATTAAACTTGACAAAGTCAGAAAATTCCTGTAAGAACTGAGAATTCGGCCTATAGATTGTAATTAGCACTGAATCTGCCCTCCTGACGAATGACTTATTGCTTTCTGTTGATGAAGGAAATTGCGCCATCCTCATGTTATTGGATCTAAGCTCTGCTTTTGATACGGTTGACCATGACATACATGTCACCTAGAAAAGTGGGTGGGGTTACAGGGAGAGGCCCTGAGTTTGTTCATATCTTATCTTAAGCACAGAACCTTGTCAGTGAACACTGCCAGCTATTTCTCTTCCTCTGCTGACGTGTCTTGTTGGCGTTCCACAAGGGTCCATATTAGGGCCCCTCCTTTTTTCACTATACATGCTGCCATTAGGTAAAATTATTGGGAAGCACAATGTCAGCTTTCATCTTTATGCTGATGATATACACTTACTCCAAAATGCAGCAGCTAGGTTACTGATTAGAACCAAGAAAAGAGACCATATTACTCCAGTCCTCGCTTCACTTCGTTGGCTACCTGTCCAGTTCAGGATACAGTTCAAAGTGCTTTTATTTGTTTTTATAGCACTTAATGGTCAGGCCGCCTCGTATGTTGGCAGTGTGCTCACTCGCTCTACTACACAGCGAGCTTTGAGATCATCCTCGCAGAACCTGCTGGCTGTTCCCATATGGGCTCGTTTGAAGCTTAAAGGTGATCGTGCTGGGGGCTTCATTTAGACCAAAGTATTCATCGGGTCTAATCCACGTTTCTGTGAGGCACAGAGCATCAAAACCATGATCGGTAATAATTTCATTTACAGCGACGGCTTTAGATGTAAGAGATCTTACGTTAAGCAGTCCTAATTTTAGACCAAAGGTGCTGCCACTGCAAACTGGTGTAACTGGTCTGATATTAATCAAGTTAGTGGAACAAACTTTTTTTAAGGATTTTTGATGTTTTGTGCTATTCCGGGAACAGAAACAGTCTCAATGGGGTGGAACCTGTGTGGCGTGTGAGCCTCACGACCCAAAGGCAAGAAATTCTGTGACAAACTGATGTAAAGTTTGCTCTCATTTTAGAAATATGTATGAACGCCCAGCCTTAGATTCAAGATTTAAGATACTTTATTTTCATTGCACAGGGTACAACGAAATTGGGTAGCAATCCTAACAGTGCGTAAACAAAAAAGATTAAACTAGGAATAAAACAAAAATATTGGCTAATGTAAAATACAGGGTGATTCAAAAAGATTAATCCGATTTCAAAGGGCCATATTTTTAAAACCGTGAGGCGCCGAGGAACCAATCACAATCCAACTGAAAGAGCGTTCTGCGTGATTTTCGTGGGCAGTGAAGCTCCAACAGCTCAGAGCGTTCGTCGTTGGTTCCACAACACTGGATGATCTCCGAAATCGCACTGAAAGAGCCGAGAGTGCAGCGACACCCGACATGCTCAATCCAGTATGGATGAGTTTGACTATGGTGTTGATGTTGTCTGTACAGCTGGAGGAGGTTCAGACTGAGACCTTCTACAATTACATAATAAACTTTATGCTCATTTAAACCATTTACAGTTTACTGCATTGATCTGTAATGATTTACAAGAGAAATAAATCATTTTGAAATCAGATGAATCTTTTTGAATCACCATAAAATGCAAGATCTTAAAGGAAAGATTTGAAAATTTTAAATTATAAAAAAGTTAAAAAATAAAACTATGAAACAATTTAAAAATAAAATTATAAAAAAGTAAAAATAAATAAAAAGGGTAGATATAATAGAATGTAGCAGCTGTGCTGTTGCACATGAGGGTATTGCACATATGTGAATGGTATTGTTTCTATTTCCAAATAGTGCAGTTTGATAATAAATGTAAAGTTCAAAAGAACGTAAACATCTTTGTAAACAACATTTTTAGCTTGACAAACAAGAAAAAAACATAGTGATAAACTTTTTGGGAAGTCCAGTTAAGAAACCATTACAGCCGCTCTTAAAAAAGAAGGTACTTCAAGGGTTCTTTAATAATGACAGTGGTTCTATATAGAACTATGAGCACATGCTTAATGGTTCTTTGCATGGTGAAAAGGTTCCTCAGATTGATGGAGAATGTTGTATGTGGTTCTATATAGAATAGCACCAAAAAGGGCTCTGCTGTTGTTATGATGTCAGGCTTGTAAAAACAGTAGAATCCTTTTTGGTGCTGTTCTGTATAGAACCACATACAACATTCCATCAATCTGAGGAACATTTCACCATGCAGAGGGTTCATGGCTCTTTATAGAACCACTGTCTTTACTGAAGAACCTTTGAAGAACTGACTTTAAGAGTGCAGTCCGCTATACTGGAGATAAAAGCATGGATGAGTTTTCAGAAATGTTAACAAAATAAAAACATAATGTCCCCAAACTTTTGACCACAGTGGAGTGAGCAGATAGGAAGAGGCTGAGTGACCGCACCACATGGCACGTTTCCAAACAGTTTTTGGAATCTGGTTGTCAAAAATGACCGTCTGGGTCTAGAATCACACTCGCACAAAGGCTCGATTCAGAGACGCTCAGAGCGTCCAGCACAGCAGCGTCCGCAAAACATCCCCAGCGCCGCTCAGCCCGGCTCCTGTTCCTACTGATTCCATTCATTGTACTCGACCTTCATTAACATTCAAGACTTAGAGGGGAATTCCACCCATTTTTAAAAAAAATCCCCTGTAATTGAGTGTGTGAGGTGTAAACAGAGAGATTCAGAGTGGTTTGGTGTGAAATGGTTCAGATGTCTTTACAGTGGTGGTGATAGGAACCAGGGGTCGCCATGACTACAACACAGATATAGACATTGTATTTACTATCCAGAACCACCAGTGAACCTACACGAGTCTTCTGAGTTTATATGGAATGTTGATGATGGAAAATAGTGGAAAATCTGAAATAATAAGTTTTCTTTGGGGACTATTTTGCCTCACAGCGCCCTGCATGTATCCCTCCACCATGAATGGAGTTTAAGTTCTCAGAACTTTAATTTGGACATTATTTCTTTTAACTGTTTATGTTTCTATCTGTAGTGAATGTAGTGCGTCATTAGTGTCTTCATTAGCTGGGAGTTCACAGCAGCCAACTTCACCGCTTAAAATCAGACTTTTCTGTAGTTTTTACGTTTTGAGTCGCACACTTGACAGAAGAGTAACGTTACATGATCGGCCTGATTTTAGCCACAAAGAACACAAACAAGTGCTTCTTTGAGCCTCCATACTTAAGAAACTCCATTTCCACAGGATATGATGGCATATTTAACGTGGCGTATTGTCGACTCACACAGAATTAATGTAACCTGAACTTATTTTTGTGGCTCATTTTACAGAAAATGCGCCAGAATCTTTACTGACGCAGGAGAGCACCGTCTGTAAAAATGACCGACTAAAATGAGAAATATCGGTAATATTTACATTACCCACCTCCTCATAAAAGGAATTCCACCCTAGTAGGGCTTAAGCTGCATTTTAATATGTAAAAGATGCTCCATGAAGGAAGATGATATTATTATTATTATTAATAATAATAATAATAATAATAACTGCGTATTTAATAATAAAAATAATTAACACGTACACATTCTTTTGTTTCTCTTGCATCTCGAGTGGCTTATGGCTTTTATAAAACAGCAGACAACATAAAATATGATGAATTACACAGTTTTTTCTGTAAATAATTAAAATTATTGTTAACAATAATCAACATAAACAAGTATTCCGCCAGTAAATGTAGTTACTTCAGAGTTGGTTATCCAACCAGGAACTGCTGAATGAGGAGAAGAGCGTTCGGTCACCCAGCACTCCGTACTGGTTATTTCACAATTCGATAAGAAAGCATAAAGCGTGTAAAGCAAGGTTTGGGTTGAATGTCGATAAAAGTGACCTGATATGTTGTTTTTTTCTTTGATTGATCAGGAAAAGATCTATAAACTTTACGAGCGGAAGCTTCAAGGGGACTTCGACACAAACAGCCACATACAGAAGAAGAAAGAGTTCCGCAATCCGAGGTGTGACTTTTCACTGCAGTATTTTATTTAGATAGAGCCATTAAAGATTTATTGATTCTGTAGATTCTCAACGTATCATTTCCTTTTCACAGCATTTATGAAAAACTGATCCAGTACTGTGGAATCGATGAGCTCGGCACCAACTACCCTAAAGTAAGTCACAAGCCACTGTTTTGCATTTCCAGTGTTAATCAATACTTTAATTTGAATGTGTTCTTTTCTCTCTGTAGGACATGTTTGACCCCCACGGTTGGGCTGAGGATTCATATTATGAAGCATTAGGTGAGCCACGCACATCTGAACTCACTCACTCTTAAATAGGCTTTAGTCTGCTGTGGGTTTATGACTATAAGTTTTATTTATGCAACATTCTTTAAAAATAAGTCGATGAAAACAGGCAGTTTGTGATACCAACAAAATAAGAAGGGAAACAATCATTAAGTTAAAGCAGATGTTTGACTAACATAGTACCATTAGATAAAGAAATTAAAACCGAAAAATAAAGTGTAACTCTTGGAGACGCTGATCCTGTTTACATTTTTATTCCTATCCACAGCCAAAGCTCAGAAGGTAGAGATGGAAAAACTGGAAAAAGCTAAAAAGGAGAGGACCAAGGTGATAGCCCTGAGGCACACCGCTGTTTTTGCTGCCTATTTTTGTAACAAAATAGAGCTTTCAGTGACTTTCTGTCTCAACATTTAGTGAAAATTCGTATTTGTGATGATTTATGTTTGCATATATGTTTTGCTTTTGTTTTTAGATTGAATTTGTAACAGGAACAAAGAAAGGCAACACAACGAACACGGCCACCGTGACCACCAACACAGCCACCGCCACGTCTACAGGTACACTCTTTGTTTTTCTTTTTTGTTTTGTTTTGGGTTTTTTTGGAGGTTGGAGGTCCTGTAGGCTGCAGACTACATGCTCAGATGTTTACACACCGCCCAGCAGTGGCGATTCTAGGATTGCATAAATGGACATGCACTTAAGCTCTTTGTAATCAAACATGCAGCTGGTCAGTTTTCATGTACTTAAGATGCCGCTAAAGCATATTGTGAAGAAGTTTATCACAATAGCTGCAAAATATCGTCATATTTTCATATATTGTCATAAATCTCCTAATTCTAATGCATTTAAATAGTATCAAATTTAATCTTTCTTACTGTAAATGGACACAGGAGGATAGAAAATAACCTTCATTTTAACCTTAAGATAAAATAAGGTAATCCTTTATTAGTCCCACAATGGGGAAATTCTCCAACGGCATCAAAGGGAGAGCAGAGCACTCAAGAAAAGCAAACAAGAAGAGAATCAGCAAGCAAAGTAATTAACCTTATTAATTATATATATATATAATATATATATATATATATATATATAATACTTAGGATAAAAACTATAAACTCTATCCTTCACAAAAGCTCTGTTCACAAAAATGAACAATATCAACAATTAGAAATAAAAAAGCAAAAAAATATTTATATTTTACCTGAATTGCACATGGAGATCTGATTGTTACACACGGGAATGGTGATCAATAAACAGTAATAAATTTATGAATGTATAACTGATGATGTCTTGCACACCAGGAGTTTGAGCTCTTTAGTGTATTATTAAGTTCTTTAAATCATTTAAGTTCAAGAAAAAGACGTAAGCAGGACACGTTTTCTTTAAAGAAACCTTCGATTCCGATACGGGTCATTTGGACCCACTTTGCATGTGCGTTCTGGGGTTAAAGCAGCTTGCTACGAAGAGAACTGATGTTTTTTCATTACCATGTATTTCAGTTTTATTTATAAACATTTTGAGCTTTTTTAAATATCTTAAGTTCTGTTACACACAGGATGTAATGCAAATAAACATGAAAATGTTATGTAATTTTGTTTGTTCACTCCACAAAAAAAAACAGGCAGAATGTCTATCAGAAGGTTCTTTGCATCTCACGAATCAGCCGGACAGTGACGGCGTACTGGGTGTTTTCCAGTTTGTAAGATCTAAAGCCGAGCGGAGAGTTTCTCTTCCTGCAGGAGCTGAAACTGTCTGAGCTCTTTCACTCTCAGATCTCCTCTGAGTTTGAGCTGGTTTTGGAGACGCAGCTCCACACGAGACGAAACAGCAGAACGTCTTAAAGTGTGAATAAGATCCTTCACTCCTCACAGAGCGAGCAGACGCTGACGCTGGAGAGGCTGCTGATCATTTAGGAAACGTGAGAGCAGCTGGAAAGTGAAGAGCTTCATCGCTTCATTCAGGAGCTCGAACCCTGATATCTTCCACATTTCACTACGTCTGAGCTGCTTTTGGAGGATCTGATCCTTTAGGCGTTTGAGAAGAAGCTCTCTTTGCTGGAACACGTCAGCTTTGTTGTTGCCATGCCAACTCTAGAGGTAGTTGAGATTCAGAGTCAGAGAGTTCCTGTCACTGGCGAAAGTTTGCAAAAATCACAGTTTGAAAAATCGTGTTTGGTGTGCGAGACACAATCAGTTATACATGTGATCAAAATATTTATTATCATGCGAATGAACTGGTCTTGGTGTGTAAAGCCCTTTAGTCTTATAGAGTGTCTGAATATCATCGCTGTCTCAAATAAGAATATCCATTTTTTGCAATTTTTATTTTTCTGCGTCGTTTGGCTCAGCGCTGTCCTTCACATCCCCTGACAATTTTCGGATGAATGGACCAATAGAAATGCTCCAAAAAATTGCTTGGAATTAAACCTCTTACATTAACTCACTTAAAAGTAACGAACATTTTTCATTCTTGAAGCTGCAATTTTGGAACTTGTTATTCTTTGGAAAGTGACGATATTCAACACACCTAAAAAGGAAAGTTATTCTTTAATAAAGAAAGTGGTTCTATATAGAACCATAAACACTCTTACATCATGAAATGGTTCTTCAGATTGATGGAGAATGTGCTGTAGGTGGTTTTGTATAGAACCTTTTTGAAAAGGGTTCCATATAGCACCATTAAGGGTTCTTGTTTTGTATACAAGCTTGACATTGTAAAAATTGCAGAACCATTTTTGGTGCTATATAGAACCGTATACCGTTTTCTTTACTAAAGAACCCTTGATGAACCGTCTTCTTTAAGAGTGAAAGTAAATAATAAATAGAATATTGAGAAATTAAAGTATCTGATGGCTGCAGATCGTCTTCCTTCACTGAAGAGTTGTATTGATAAACTCTGATTAGTGCTGCGGTTTGATTGTATGTTTCTGTGTGTCTCTCAGCCGAGGCTCAGAAAAGGAAGAGTAAGTGGGACTCTGCGGTTCCGGTGACTCTGGCTCAGCCTGCGCTTCTCACCACCACAGCTACTCTCCCCGGGGTGGTCTCAGTCACCACCACGGCCAGCGGCACCAAGACCACGGTCATCTCCGCCGTGGGCACCATCCTGAAAAAGGCCAAGCAGTGACGCACTTGGAGCTCACCTGAGCTTCACGGGAGCTTCTTACAGATTCAGGACTTCTTTTTATTTCCATGAACTGCTGTCCGGCGTTCAGAGACTGATTCCGTTTTCCTGGACGAGTTTCAAGAACTTCAGATTTCAAACACAGAAGCTACGGCCCTCCTCGTCCTCCAAACGCCATCTGTCTGAAATTTTATACAGCTTAGGTAGTTTAATTAACGCCATTTGTTGTCTTTCTGCACGGATTTTGTTCAGTTTGAGCCCATTTTAAGTGTATTTATGTTGCTCAGAAACAGCTTTAGGAAGCAAAACAACACAAAGGTTGGTTTAAATTCTTATTACAGAATGTCGAACCAGCGCAGTGAGGATTTCTTTTAGCAGGTATTTTTGTGCCCTCAGACCTTCTTTGTTTACCCTTCAGAGGTGATTATTCATGTGTACATATTGAGACAAGCTGAATCAATGGCTTTTTCACAGCTGCTCATGCTAGAAATAAATGTTTTGCATTGTTGTATACCTGAATTTTCTCTTCTTGCACTTTCAGAGAATTCATCTGTATGTGCAGGATTTTGTATATACACTATATGGACATACCTCGTATTTACTGGATTCGGGTGTTTCATTCAGTCTCATTACCACAGGTGTATAAAATCAAGTACCTAGCCATGCAGCCTGTCTTCACACACATTAGTGAAAGAATGAGTCTAAAGAGCGTGGTGCTGTAATAGGACGCCACCAGTGCAACAAGTCAGTTCATAAAATTTCTTCCCTCCTAGATTTTCCACGATCAGCTGTGAGTGTATTATTGAAGAGTGGAAGCGTTTAGGAACCACAGCAGCTCAGCCACGAAGAGTCAAACCACGTAAAGTTACAGAGCGGGTCTCCGAGTTCTGAGGAGCACAGAGCATCAAAGTCACCAACGCTCTGCTGATCAATAACTGCAGAGTTCAAACCTCCTCTGGATCAACATCAGCACAGAAACTGCACCGGGAGCTTCATGGCAGGGTTTCCATGACCAAGTAGCTGCATGAAGCCTTACATCACCAAGCGCAACGCCAAGCGTCAGATGGAGTGGGGTAAAGTGCTGCCACTGGACTCTGGAGCAGTGGAAACGTATTCTGTGGAGTGACCAATCACACTTCTCTATCTGTCAGTCTGATGGACGAGTCTGGGTTTGGCGAATGCCAGGAGAACGTTACCTGCCTGACTGCACTGTGCCAGCTGTAGAGTTTGGTGGAGGAGGGATGATGATATGGGGCTGTTATCAGGGGTTGGTCTAGAACCCTAAGTTCCAGTGAAGGGAAACCTTAATGCTTCAGCAGAACAAGACATTTTGGACAGTTGTACACTTCCAACTTTGTGGAACAGTTTGGGGAAGAACCTTTCCTGTTCCATCATGACTGAGCCCCAGTGCACAAAGCAGCTCCATAAAGGCCTGACTGGGTGAGTTTGGTGTGGAAGAACTTGACTGGCCCTCACAGAGCCCTGACCTCAACCCCATCAAACACCTTTGGGATGAACTAGAACAGAGATTGTGAGCCAGACCCTCTCGTCCAGCATCAGTGTCTGACCTCACAAATGCTCTTCTGGATGAATGGGCAGAAATTCCCACAGACACTCCAACATCTTGTAGAAGCTTCTCAGAAGAGTGGAAGCTGTTAGAGCTGCAAAGGGGAACCAGCTCCATATTAACGCCTACGGATTTAGACTGGGACGTCATCACAGTAAGGATGATGTGGTGCAGTGCATGCAGTCGTGCACAGAATATGCAGCATGTGTGAAAATTGATTAACGTAATGCAGAATTAAATTTCACAAGCGCAAGTTCTGCCCAGACACCATTACATATAAGACCGGTGGCTCGTTGAGGACCCTCTCTCTGTAGCTACCGCCGAATGATCCGGTCTGTCGAGGATTCATAACTGCAGCAGCTTCATAACTCCTGACCCCGATAAACAGAGGCTCAGATGCAGGTGACTGTCAAAAATGTCCAAAATGGACAGCAGCCTCTTCAGTGTCACCGAATGTGCATAATACATAAACTTAATAATACGATCATAATCAGATTTCTGCAATTATTTGATTATTAAGCGGCTGTGTAAACACACTGATTTCTCAGATCAGATTAAGGTGTATAAATCTGATAAGTAAATCTGATAAAGAGGCTGGATCTGAGTCAGTAATGGGGTTTCTCAGTGCATGTGAACTCTCACTCTGATTTCTTTCGTTTCTCTCAGTCTGAGCATGTGTGAAGACAGAGCGTTGTCTCGGAAACAGCGAGCAGCGTTTAACACAGAACCCGCAAGACCAACACATTAATATGGACCATTAATATGGACTTTTGGAGCGGCACTGAAACCGAACACACGCTTGACCAAATGAAGGAGTTAAATATTCTTCATTTTCTAGATATTGAACGTTCATATTTTCAGCCAAAGTGACTCGATGTTTGGAAAAAAAAGCTGCTCATGATGTTTGATTTTTACGTCACGTCTGATTCTGAGTTTATTGGCTGGTTGTAAAGCAGAAATCTGATTACTGCCTGACTTGTAGACCTGTTTATAGCACCAAAAAGGGTTCTGCTATTGTTACGAAGTCAAGCTATACAATAGCAGAACCCTATTCAACAACATCTACATAGAACCCCATTCAACACGTTCTCCATCAATATGGAGAACCATTTTACCATTTAAGAGCATGTAAATGGTTCTTTGAGTGTTAATGGTTCTATATAGAACCATTGGGGCTCATTCACCAGTAACTTTTTCTTAAATTTGCTCTTATAAAGGATCCTAAGAAAAAGTCTCCGTCAGATTCATGACGTGTTCCTAAAGATCTGAGCTGTTCTCACCTTTGTGCTCTTCAGTGTGTGTAGGTTCTGTTCTTACCTAAGAACAAACCCCAGATAAGAGAACATTGGTGAACGTCGGAGTCTTTTCTTTCTTCTTAAGAACGGTTGGAGAACGAGGACGATTGTCTTTACTAAAGAACCCTTAAAGAACCTTTTTTTTAAGAGTGTAGTTTTTACATCAGCTGCCTCAGAACCACCTCGTCACCTGTTTGCAGTGTACAGTAACGTACAGTCAGTGTCTGTAACTACTGTGGGGCTGTGTGGAGGTGGAGGTGATGTGAGCTCAGTGCTGTTGATAAACAGTCTTACACAATCGTCCCATCACTCTCGGCACGTCAGGCATTTCAGAGAAGTGTGTTCTGGTGTGTGTTTTGAATTATGGTGAGCTGATTGTGGCTGTTCTGCCCCACAGACGAGTTATCAGGAACCCACAGAGGAATGTTGGAGTTCGAGATGAAGAATCAGAATCAGAATCTGATTTATGGGCCGAGTATGACGACACACACACGGAATTCAGTCAGCGTGTCTATAGTATTATACAGACAGTACACAGTATACACACAATACATAACACAATATACACAGTATACACATGATATGACAATGTACATATACAGACAATACATAACATACACAATATACCCAGTATACACACAATACACTATAAACACAATACACAGTTTACAAATATTACACTGACAATGTACATATCATGTACAGCCAGTATAAAATATACACAGTGTACCAGTAATGTACAGACGATAGCGACACACAGGTTATGTAGGCCCAGGTAGAACACGTGTGCAATGCAGATGTGAAGCAGAGTGTAATGATGTCCGAGAGAGCCGGAGCAGCTCGGGCTCAGCAATGCCAGGAACGTGCTCTTTATTCCAAACCCACCTCAGAAACACCTCACCACTGTACACCAGGTGGGCTCAGGGTTCAGAGCGGACCCCTCACCTCTCTGACCGTCTGACCATCTGACTTCTACTGAGCTGTGTTTCAGCTGTTCAGAAACTCTCAGAGTCTGGAGGACTGTCCCTGTCTCAGTCAGACCTGCACATTAGTGACATGTGTCCACAATAATACTGAAAATATTAAATTAATACACAAATTATTATTATTAAGGGCTCATATCAGGACAAAACACAGAGTTCTTTGCTTTCCACTTTATCAGAAACACCCACCTTGTGCTTCCAGTCACTGTCCGTGCAGCAGGTGAGGCCTTTTCTGCCGCTGTTCTAATATCTGTCCTACTTTACTGCCTAGAAGTCTTGGGGTATTATTGATGTTTTGTGCTGCTATTTGAAGGAGAATTCCACCAGTTTTCCAAATTCAGTGTGTTTCATTCATTGTACTCGACCTTCATTAAAATTCAAGACTTATAGGGGAATTCCACCTATTTTAAAAAAAAAAATCCCCCATAATTCAGTGTGTGAGGTGTAAACAGAGTGGTTCCGAGTGGTTTGGTGTGAAATGGTTCAGATGTCTTTACAGTGGTGGTGATAGGAACCAGGGGTCGCCATGACTACTGAAATAATAAGTTTTCTTTGGGGACTATTTTGCCTCACAGCGCCCTGCATGTATCCCTCCACCATGAATGGAGTTTAAGTTCTCTAAACTATCATAAAACAGTGTCTCAGTCATCAGGCAGTGAATTCATAACCATTTCATGTAGGAACTTTCTGTGAGGGAGCTTTTAGAGGTGGACGTCTGGTTCCTATCACCACCACTGTGAACAGTTCTGACTCGGTAAGTTTATCTAGAACAGAGCGTTTCACACCAAACCACTCTGAACCACTCTGAACCACTCTGTTTACATCTTAACCAGTTAATGATGCAGAAGTTCTTAAAAATGGGTGGATTTCCCCTTTAAAGGGTTAATAAAAGTGAGATTACTATAAATAAATACAGCCTTTGATTAGTAAATTAATATACTGGCCGTGTTAAAGTGGTGAAGTCTGAGTGCAGTTGTCCAGCTGTAGTGAGGTCACTGCTGTGCAAAGTCAGGCTGAGTTATTTGGAGGACTTTTGTCATGTTAATGTGTTCAGCGCTCTGAAAGAGCGATGGGGGGGCAGAGGGGGGGTCTTACTCATTCTTGTGCACTGAGGCTCAGTCTGGCTGGGAAAGCCGTTGGAGTTCGGACAGATCGGAGGAATATTGATCCATAAAAGCTGGTGCAGTGATTAGAATCAGGAAACTACGGCACTGAAACTGAGATGAAGTGACTCTGATGAGCTGCGAGTGACTGTTGAGGGGTTCAGCTGTTTAGAGGTAAGTTTGTGTTTTCAGTTTTTTGAAGCTTTTTCTGTGTTTGCTGTCTCTTCACTGTTGCTTGTGCTTCATGGAGGTGGGGAGTTTTGTCTTAGAGGCCTCTCTAAATGCCTAGAGCTCCATAAAAAAGAAAACATCTGTATGTCTGTCATTTTTAGCTCATTTTTATTTAATAGAATCTGTTGTTGTTTTCAAACTCGAAGTGTTGCAGTAATGCTCTTATTACACTGTTCAGTTCTGGTTGGAAGCAAAAGGATTAAAATCTTGACAGAAAATGATCCAATCAGGATTGTTCTCTCTCTGTGGTATGTAAGTAGATTCAGCTGAGCTGCTCTCTCATTGGTCAGGACTTCAGGAGCTGGACTGAAGGCTTCACACGGTAGATTAAC